ACAGGGTCTCACTATGTTGCCCAGGCTGATCTCAAACTCCTGGCTTCAAGTGATCCTCCTACCTCAGCCTCCCAACATGCTAGGAAGTCTTTTGTTTTAGAATAAGTTTTGATATTCTTGCATCCTGCCTCATAATAGCCTTACTGGCTTTAATATAAATGTATTATTTCCAATCACACATACAGTAAATCAAGCCACAGTGACCCGCTGACTTCTAGTATCCCCAGCCCACCATGCCTCACCATAGGGAATTTAAAATCCACTTTCGGAGTCCACCTCAGTCATTTCCACTTCAAGGCTTTTGGATACTCTGCTCTTTGCTGGAAAATTCTCCCCCTGACCCCTTTTGTCCATTTGGTGAACGCTTTAAAATGAAAACTCCAATGATCACTTCCTCTTTTAAGATGCTCCTAGCCCCACACCTCAATGCAGAGCTGACATCTTCCTTTATGTGCTCATTGTGCCTTTTGCAGATGCACAGCCCTTTATTACTTGCACATACGTCTATATGTTTACATGTATACGATGGCTACTGAATTGTAAGCTCTCAGAGGGCAGGCAGGAGGTCTGATTTATGAATGAATCCCCAGAGCCTAGCAGAGGGCCAAGCACAAAGTATATGCTTGGTAATTGTTGAAGAATAAATGAATGAATGAGTGAGTGAATGAATGAATGAATCACAAAGCAACTTAAATTAAAGCAGAATAATTTTTCTAGGATGTATCTGGGAATAGCAATAAAATGTTGAAATACAGACAGTCCCTGATTTAAGATATTTAGACTTAGGATTTTTCAACTTTACGGTGGTACAAAAATGATACAAAGTCAGTGGAAAGTGGTATGATACTCTCTCATGATCATGAGGGTAGACAACCAATACTCTACAGTGAACTGTGTTGCCAATTTTGTTCAGCTGTAGGCTAACGTAAGTGTTCTGAGCACATTTAAAGTAGCGAGGCTAAGCTACAATGTTGAGTTGGTTAGGTGTATTAAATGCATTTTTAGGTTATGATGTTTTCAACTTACAATGGGTTTATTGAGATGTAACCCCATTGGAAATGGTGGAGCATCTGTATCCCCAAAGATTGACAGCAAAACCTCCATGGCTGCAGCCACCCCACTGCCTTAAATAGGACTGAGGATTGGTTAGAGGGTCTCCTGAGATTTCTCCATCTCATTTTGTGTGAGCCTGTTCTTCAAAAACCTTACTGCGTCTCTTGTTGATCCCCACCCCTCACTCCCTCTGAGCTCTCTCTAACTTAGTTGAGTCCTGAAGTAGCTAATGCTTGGACTATCACATTTATTTCTTAATTAGGCCACCTGCCTAAAAGCACCTCTCTCTTCTATGAGTCTACATATCACCTACTGATTGCTCACCCCACCCAAAATCCTACCCAAACCCTCCACGTATCTGAAGAACATGGCCTATGGTATTTAAGTTCTTTCTGTTTCTAACCTTAAGTTACCTTTCAACAATAGTCAAAATATGTGAATTGGTAACAGGGCTGTAGGTATTCACAGGAGGGAATACAATGGACAAAACTCCCTGTCCCCAAGACCTCACACTCATCCTCCAGCTTATCTGCCCTGTCTCCCTTCTCCATCTTCCTTCCCAAGCTTCTCCCTCATCAGAACACAGCTCCTCATTCCCATCTCCTTGCCTTTGCTTCCACTACTGTCTATCCTGGAATGTCACCTGAGCCACACTTACCTGAATCTCAGTCAAGGCCTCTGTCTATGAAGACTTTTATCCATACCTCAGCCCACAGCGATCTTTCTTTCCTTCCTCTTCAGAACTCTTGAGGTACTGACTCAGCCTCCATATACTTGTGTGGATGCATGTTAGGTGGTTTTGTGTGGAAATGCACGTGTATGCGTGTGTGTGTGTGTGTGTGTGTGTGTGTGTGGTTCCCACCACTCAAATGTAAACTCTCTTTCTCCTCTGCATCTTTCTCAGCTCTTGGCACCTGAAGCTGAATCAATATGACAGGGCAGGGAACGAGACTGGCAGTGAGCAGCTCTGCAGGACTCTCCCTGACCTCCTTGGCTTCATTTCTCACTGCCCCAGATGTCTACTTCTGTCTGTCACTCCGTCTGTCTCGCTCCTGTCAGCTGAAGCACTCACGACAACCTGTCAGGCTGGTGTAATGCCCTGCACCAGGGCACAGCAGGGGGAGAAGGATCCCAAGTCTTGAAGATTTCACAGGATAGCCATTTTCCTTGAAGCCTGATAGAACCAGTCAGAATCCTCTTCCTTTCTTGGCTGCTTTAGAATAGAAACTGTGTATATACTCAGGGGAATATTCTAACCAGTGGGAGATTCTCATTTTCTTTCTGAAGGACAAGGACGTTACAGTAAAGAGGAAAAATAAGGCAGAGAAAGGACCTCCAAAGAGCCAGGATGTCCTCTCAGGCACTCCATTACATGCACAAGGGCCAGGGAGCCCACAGCTTGCATGGCCACTAAAATGGAGTCACAGCATAGTTCTCAGCAACATCCTGCCCAGAGGGTTGCACTGGCATGGTTGGACAGAGCCTGCTCAAAAAGGAGGAAGTAGTCCCTCCTTCACAGTGGACTTCACAGCCACCACCATTTCTTGCTGTCTCCAGCCATTCCTATTGCCATCTGCCAAAAGGGAAGAAAGAGAAGTTGTTCACTGATATCATCACTTGCCCAGCAACTCAGACTCCACACCAAGTAAGACAGCCAAGACAGCGCCTGCCCTGGGACTGAATTAAAGAGAAGAATTTAAGGAAAAAAAAAAAAAATTCTCCTAGATGGCAAGACCCACAATGCTCTGGGGCCACATCTAATTAACTTACAGCCTCTGATGTCAACAGCTTCCAAGGCTGGTGTAGTGCATTCGCAAACACATTCCAGAAGAGTCAGCATGATCTGGTGTTGACACAGGCCCATAACTGTCAGAGGCAGTAGTTTCCAATTTATGGATGCCGTAAAGCTTTGGCAATATGATTGCTACAATGTGTGGTGTGTTTTTGACAATAAGCAGGAGGTAGGGGGTTGGGGAGTATCGGTTCCACATTTGACTATGGATGTGGGCTCATAAGGGAAAATGTGTAGTGATTTCTGCAGTTGCAAAGCAGCTACAATAATGACTCCAAACAATGAGCCTAGGAATGTTATGTAGTTCTTTACTAGCAAACTCTGGACTTCTACATCAGCTCAAAGGTACATTAGTTATTCAACAAACATGCATTACCACCTACCCCATGCCAGGCACATAGTGCAGAATAAGTACAGAGTACAGTGGGAGCAGAAGAAATGGATGGTAGGTTTACCTCCAAAGGATTCAGTAAATGCCAGGTCTCCTTACTTCAAGAACCCTCCTAAGAAGAACCATGATGGAAGGAAAAAAGGAGAAGGGCAGTGAACACAGCTGTCATCAGCCTTTGCTTCTATCCTGACAAGATGTGTGTGTCCTTAGACGCAGGTGTGTGAAACTTGTTCATGTGGGCAGCAATAGAAGGAGTGACTTTTTCATGGTCTAAGACCCAGATATAATACTAGACTTGATTATTGGCCAAAATAAAACGTCACCAAAACATTCTTCATTTGTTATCACTTACTGGCCTCAAGGCCAACATTTGGGTGTACTCAAAGTCTGGAGCTCAAGAGTCTAAATAATACAGTCCCAAGCTAGAGCATAAGAGTGTGTGTGTGTGTGTATGTGTGTGTGCTCATGTATATGTGCATGCATATGCCTAAATGCTGGTCTGAAACCCTCTAAATGGATTCCTTATGGTTCTCGAAAGCAGAGGCAGCTAGGTCATTAGAATTCATGCAACCAGCAGATATTTACTAACAACCTACAGGGTGCCAAGTATGGTGCTAAAACGGAGGGGCTAAGGGACAAACTGTGTGGCTCTCAGAAGTTAGTGCATTTTTGCTTAAGAACAGAGAGTGGATAACATATTAGATTCATATTCACATACTCATTGTTAGGCAATTCCAACTAGGAAAGACTTTTATCTTAAAAAATAAAAAAGGTTGCCACTACACATCTATTAGAATGGCTGAAATGAAAAACGCTGACAATGTCAAATACTAGCAAGGATGTGCAGCAAAAGGAACTCTTACTTATCACCAGTGAGAATGCAAAATGGTACAGAAACTTTGGAAATCAGTTTGGTGGTTTCTTACAAAACTAAACATACTCTTATCATATGACCCAGCAATAGTGCTCTTTAGTATTTACCCAAAAAAGTTGAAAACTTATGCCACAGAAAAACCTGCTTGTAGATGTCTATAGCAGCTTTATTCAGAATTGCCAAAACTTGGAAGCAACCAAGATGACCTTCAATAAGTGAACAGATAAACTGTGGCATGTCTAGACAACGGAATATTAGTTAGTGCAAAAAAAAAAAAAAAAGAGCTATCAAGCCATGAAAAGACATGGAGGAACCTTAGATGTATATTATTAAGTGAAAGAAGACAATCTAAAGAGGCTATATATTGTACAAGTCCAACGATATGACATTTTGGATAGAGCAAAATCATGAAGGCAGTAAAAAGATTACTGGTTTTCAGGGGTCTAGGGAGAGAGAGGAATGAATAAGCAAAGCATAGAGGATTTTTAGGAGAATAAAATTATTCTGTACGATACTATGATGGTGAATACATGTTGTCTTAGTTCATTTTGTGCTACTACAACAAAATATCTGAGTCTGGGTAATTTATAAATGACAGAAATTTATTTCCCACAGTTCTGGAGGCTGGGAAGTCCAAGGTGCCTACATCAGGTGTCTGGTTAGGACCATCTTGCTGAATCTTCCAGAGGTGAGTAATGCTATTTCCTCATATGGCAGAAGAGCAGGAGACAGATTATTCTTCCCAAAGGCCCATTTTCTAAAAGAATCCATTCAGGAAGGTGGAGGCCTCATGACCTAAACACCTCACATTAGGCCTCATCTCCCCACACTGTTGCACTGGAGATTAAGTTTCCAACACCTAATTTTTGGAGGGGACAAACACACTCAAACCATAGCACATGTCATTATGTATTTGTCGAAACTCATAGAAAGCACAACACTAATGTAAACTGTGGGCTTTTATTGATAATGATGTATCATTGTTGGTTCATGAGACTAAGGACTGTTACAAATTTATCACTGAGGTGCCAGATGTTAATGATGGGGGAGGAAGTATATGAGAACTCTGTACTTTATGTTCAACTTTGCTGTAAACCTAAGCTTGCTCTGAAAAATAAACTCCATTTAATAAATAAATGAATGAATAGATAAATGCATAAATAAATAAATGACAAAAAATGGCATTCCAATCTGTGGGCAGTTGTAGAAAGAAATCAACAGATCTGATGATTAAATTACTCAGTTAGGGCCCTGAGCAGATTTCTTAGGTTCTCTTTCACATGAGAATATCTTACATTTTTATGCTGACGTCGTTCATCCTGTAAGTCCACACCTATGTTCAGAACTGGAATAGTTTCACACTTGGAGCTTTCTGGATGACTCCAAAGATCCTGTCTCCAGCCCTAGTGTGCTAAAACTTTCAAACCTGGAACCAGACAAGGTGAGCACAGAGAACTGGTGCATAAGAAGTTGTTGAAGACAGGCACTCTCAGTGTTTGGTGAACATGAGGAATGATGTTGAAGAGTGAGAATGCTTTTTTAAAACAATTTTTGAAACAGGGTCTCACTCTGTTGCCCAGGGTGGTGTACAGTGGTGTGATCTCAGCTTACTGCAACTACCGCCTCCAGGGCTCAAGCGATCCTGCCACTGGCACACACCACCATGCTTGGCTAATTTTTAAATACTTTTTGTAGAGATGAGGTCCCATGCTATTGCTCAGGCTGGTCTCAAACTCTAGGGCTCAAATGATCCTGCCACCTCAGTCTCCCAAAGCGCTAGGATTACAGATGCAAGCCACCACACCCAGCGAAGTGAGAATGCTAAACCAGTCATAGTAACATGACTCTGATATAAATATATTTTTAAAGAAACTTACCAAAAGTGCATAATGGATGGTCCCAATTGTGCTAAATAGTCCATTTGATCATAGATGAAAGATTAGAAAGACATGCCAATTGTTAACAGCAATTGTCTCACGAAGACAGCTCATCTGTGATTCTTATGTTTTGTTTTGTGCATCTTGATGTTTCAAATTTTCTCCAATAAATACGTATTTTTTAAAACCAAGATTGAGAGAGAGAGAGAGACAAAATATGAGAGACAATGATTGTCCATCAACAGAGTAGTCACTGAGAGTTCTGGGTTTATCAAGATGAGAAATGACCAGCAGGAAAACCCCACATCAGACCCAGAGGGAGCTTCTGAAGAAGGACTGGGGTACAGTTGGGTTTATTTTATTTTACTTTTACTTTTACACACACATATATATATAGTCATTTATATATATATAGTCGTTTTTGAGCCAAAGTCTGACTCTGTAGCCCAGGCTGGAGTGCAGTGGCATGATCTCAGCTCATTGCAGCCTCCATCTCCTGGGTTTAAGCCATCCTCCTCCTCAGCCTCCTGAGTAGCTGGGACTATAGGCACACACCACCACACCCGGCTACGTTTTGTATTTTTTGTAGAGACAGAGTTTTTCCATATTGCCCAGGCTGGTCTTGAGCTCCTGGGTTGAAGTGATCCTCCTATCTTGGTCTCCCAAAGTGCTGAGATTACAGGCATGAGCCACAGCACCCAGCTAGTTGGGTTTAAAATAAAAACCGCACGCAAGAAGACAAATCTAAATGTGTTGTTTGTAAGTCAACTACATGGGCCATAGCAGTAAGGACTTACCTAGTTCTTGTTGACTCTCAGGAGAAGGGCATCAAAAGAGTACAAAGTATTCGAATATGGTAGGTTTTCCCATCAAGGCCCAACCTCTTCATGATGGAAGAAAAGGCTATTTCTAAAGCTATAAAGGCTAAGAATGACCATGGATATAGTCCCCAAACAGATACAAATAATAAACCCGGCGTTATTAGCCAAAGGGTTTAAATCTTAATAGGTTGAGAGTAGGGAGGTCAGGGGAGGAGACAGAAATTAAATAAACCTGAACCACAGCCAGGATCAAAATCTAACACCTTCCACTTGATGTGATGGCTCTTCCAGGAGCCTGTTAACACCTCATAACTACAACTGAGGCCCACAAAAGAAACCACTCAACAGGGGAAACACACAGCAATCCACACACCCAAAAGTGATCACGGCCTTCAGCGCAGAACAGATCATTCTTCCTAGAGAGGCTCAGCAGTGAAAAAGCAAGGAAACTGGGGCATTTATTTAATGTTTCTCAAACTCTTGGGTGTGGGCTGCTTGTTCAAGTCCTCAGTTTCGTGGAAATGCACATTTTTTTTTTTTGTATTTCAGCAAAGGGATCCATTTATTTGACATATGAGGTAGTGGTTTTCTGGATCCCATCTTGTGGTCTGGATAAGAACTTGAGAATGGGCTGTGAGTTTCCACCAGGAGTTGGATCCACTAAAATGCTGCCACCCTAGATCCTGCTAACGTGGTGAGACACATTCTGAGTCAGGGTCACTGCTGACATCAGGCCTTTCACATTCAAAAGGTCCGTCGAAGGTCAGATCAGTAAGGTCATGCAGGTGTTGCTCCCATCCTGGCCTTTTTTAAAACAAAGACTAGAGTTTAAAAATTCCCAGAAGTTGAATAAATTGACAGATAGCATAGGTTAGAGAAGGAGGTGTGTGACCGGGCATGTATTTATTAATAGCCTTTGTGGGAGATTTTTGTGATATATGAATAACTTTGATAATCACATCTCATTCATTCTTTACCAGAAAGGCAAATGGTAACATTGCCACTCCTATTTTACATGAAGACACTGAGTCTCAGAGAGAATGACTTGCCTAGGATGGTAAGCTAGTAAGTGACAGAGCTGGGATTTGAACCCGGATCTTCTCACTCAGTTGATGTGCCTCCCCTAGGGGAAAGTACTACAATCCTATAGCTACAAAGGAACTTCCAAGCAGGGCCTGGGAATGGAAGCCTGAAGTGACTAACAGCCTTTTCAGGATAGGGATCACATCCTGTTTCTTGTGTGTCTCATCACATGAGACAAATGAGGAACAAAGGAGGAAAGGGGGTTGTGATGAGTACTGCACTCAACAGAATGCAGTGCCTACCCACAGACTGATGGCTTGGCGTGAATCAACATCATTCCCATGATGGGCTCTATCAGAAGGCGAAGCAATGAAACATCTTAGACCACCTTCAAGGACAGATGCAGAATAGAGACTGCAGCTGTGAGCATATGGGATCCTCCCTCCTCATCCTTTGAGGACTTTCAGAAACATTAGGCCACTTCTGAGGTCAGAGCTTGGGCAAGTAAAAAGGAGGGAGGGAGACTTCAGCCATTGAATATAGAAGGTGATATTTAAATTACCTTTGCTTTTAAAGATAGAATCATCCCTATTTTTGCACTTATCAATCTGTAGTAGTCATCTTTCCAAATCAGTAAATATATAGATATATATCACCATGGTTAATAGCTGCATTGTTCTCCACAGTATAGCAGAGCACAATAATTTACTTAACTGATATCCCATTGATGGGCATTTATGTTGTTTCCTACTTGTTGCTGTTATAACAATGTTGCTGTGTATATCCTTGCAAAGACAGATTTTCTGAACTTAATAAACAGCGTCAGATGGTCAGAAGAGGAAAGGTGACTTCCAGCTGGGGAAGGAGAATTGAGGCAGGCTTCACAGCACATATGGAATGTTAGCTGGATTGAAGGCTGGGTAGAGAATGTGAGATAAGGATTAGGGAGAAAGGCAATCAAGGTGGCCGGGTGCAGTGACTCATGCCTGTAATCCCAGCACTTTGGGGGACTGAGGCAGGTGGATCACCTGAGGTCAGGAGTTCCAGACCAGCCTGACCAATATAGTGAAACCCCATCTCTACTAAAAATACAAAAATTAGCCAGGCGTGGTGGTATGTGCCTGTAGTCCCAGCTACTCAGGAGTCTGAGACAGGAGAATTGCTTGAACCCAGGAGGTGGAGGTTGCAGTGAGCTGAGATCGCACCACTGCACTCCAGCCTGGGCAACAGAGTGAGACTCTGTGTCAAAAAAATAAAGAAATAAAAATGAAGAAGAAAGAAAGAGCAAGAGAGAGAGAGAGAGAGAGAAAGAAAGAGAAAGAAAGAAAGAAAGAAAGAAAGAAAGAAAGAAAGAAAGAAAGAAAGAAAGAAAGAAAGAAAGAAAGAAAGAAAGGAAAGAAAGAAAGAGAAAGAAAAGAAAGAAAGAAAGAAAGAAAGAAAGAAAGAAAGAAAGAAAGAAAGAAAGAAAGAGAGAGAGAGAAAGAAAGAAAGAGAAAGAAAGAAAGAGAAAGAAAGAAAGACAGGTGATCAACGCAACTGACTGAACTAGAGAGTAAAAGCAAAGAGGTGGGAAAGGGTGGGGACAAAGAATACAGTGTAATGAGGTTGGAGCACAGAGTAGATGAAGCAGAGGGGCTGGCAGTAAGATTCATAAGTAGTTTTGGATAGCACTGAGGAGGGCTTTGGCTGCCAGGCAAAGGAGTCTATTATTATATATCAACAAGATGATTTAATGCTGATTCATTCCTCTTAGAGATCCCCCATCTATGCCTCAGCACTCAATGGGTAACACAATCTCAACTCTCCTATTAATGGTTGTAAAAGAAAAAGCAGGCCCTTGATTTCTGAGTGGGAGATCTGAGAAGAAAATTCACAGGCTCCAAGAAGCTCAGTGAGATAATGTATGAAAGAACACCGCATGGACTTGCACAGAGTAACCATGTGGTAAGAGTGAATTATTCATATGAACAATCATAACAGAATGGCATTTCTAAATTCTGGGGTTTTGCAGTTAAAAATTTAGCATTTTTAAATGGTGACCTGGCTCTGCCTACATTTGTACTTTTAGTTCCCCATAAAGTTGCTCTGTGAGAAGGCAAGTTTGCTTCAAGGAGAGAAAAGGAGAAACCCCACCCATGAGGTGGCTACCAGCTGAGTTTTCAGATTGCTTATCTCTTTAATATTCTAGACCTCACCATCTGGTCATCAAATTCACTTTGGTCTAAACTGGCCTACAATTTTTTTTTCTGTATTTGGAGTTTATATTAGAAATTAAGATTTACTGCATTTGCAGACCGTTTTTAGTCTTTTTATGAAAAAAGTGGAGGCAATAGAGACCCACTTGTCCAATGTGTCATTTTAAACACGCTGGGCAAGTGCAGGGTGGCAGCTTTATTTATCACCACATGCTCACTGGAGTGCTGGTAAATGGAATTGCGTGCTTGGCCAAGCACACAGGGAATAAGCACAGCATTGAGGCTGGGTTTTTACAGCAGCTCTGTGATCATGAATTATGAAAGGATTAGACAAGGTTTGGGAGAAGGGAGGTTCTGTTGTTTTTCTTCCTTCTTTTGTGAAGATTTGAGGGTGAGGAAAAACCTAGAATAAAGGCAATTAAAAAAAAAGTCCACCAAATGATGCTTATTGGGAAATAGGTTGGGAGATTCCTAATTTATCTCTCTGGTTACTTACCAAGTCAGAAACCATGATGCAAATAACGACTTCTCTCTCTGTAGGAGGAATTCATTAGTGTTAGACTCAAAGTCCTGCTGTGGCCCTGAGGCACTTGCTTTTACTGCCAACCTGAAGAGCTACAGTATTCTGTTTGCATGAATTTGAGAGTTGAAGGCATGCCTACTTAACGTTATTGGTAAGTGAACCATACTTTTCAGAGCTGCTTATCTTTTCTCTTTGCTGCTAAGCTGTGTCAAATCCACCTGATCTGCAGCTGATAGCATTTAGATCTCTTCTTTATCAGAGAGGCTACAGATCTGACTAGTACCATTTCTAGGACAATGCCTTATTTCTCTCTGCCTGCCTAACCTTTCAACCATGGCCACAGGTCCCAAGGCACATTCCATCATCCTTGGGTGCCACTGCAGGGCTGGTGCAGGATGGAAGCCTGTCTTCCTGGGAACCTTATTCAATTCCTTAGTGAGGCTCTCCCTTCAGATCCAACCTCAGCTTACCTCTCCATCCTTATCTGTAGCCACCACGTGTTGTTCTCTCTTATTTCACGGCCTTTGCAAAGGTTGGTTCTTTGGAAAGAAATACCCATCTGTCTTAGCTCAGGCTGTCATGACAAAATACCATAGCATGGCTTAAACAACAGAATTTATTTCTCACAGTTCTGGAGGCTGGAAATCTGAGATTAGAGTGCCAGGATGGTGAGGTTTTGGTGAGGGCTCTCTTCCTGGCTTGCAGATGAGTACCTTCTTGCTGGGTCCTCACATGGCAGGGGGAGGGGGGGGGGTTTGGTGAGGGTTTCTTCTGGCTTGCAGATGAGTACCTTCTTGCTAGTCCTCACCATGAGCAAGATGCATATATATATATATATATATATACATACATATATATATATATATATGTATATATAAACATCTCCAGAGAGAGAGAGAGAGAGAGAGAGAGAGAGAGAGAGAGAGAGAATATCTTCTTCTTCTTATAAGGGCCTTAATCCCATCATGAGGGACCCTCCTCATGACTTCATTACTTTCCAAAGGGCCCTGTCTCCAAATACCATCACATTGTGGGGTTGGGCTTTAACATATGAATTTGTGGGGGACACAGACATTCAGTCTTCCCACCATTGTTTGGTACTTGACTTAAAGACAACTTCTGCTGGGAGTCTTCCCTGAAATATCCAAGGTTATAGTTTCTTATAGCATCTCACATTTACCATGGTACTTACCATACTCTATTGCAATTGTCTGCACACCTATATGTCTTCTCTTACCAGATTGAACTTCTTGATGGCAGAAATGGTGTGTTATTCGCTGATGGATGCCTACTACCCAGCATAATGGCATGCACATAGTAAGCATTTACTTAAGTGCCTGTTGCCTGACTGAATTAGTCAAGGTAATGCTAGTAGAATTAACAACAACAATAAAAATTAAGACATAGAAGTTAATTTCAGGTGCACATAACAGTCCAGTGCAGTTGTTCAGCAGGCAGCCTTCCATGGGGTGATTTGGGACTCTGGTTCCTTCCATCCTGTGGCTCCACCATCCTCTAGGGTCTTGGAGTCCTTCTATTCCAGTTAGAGAATGGGAAAGAATGAAGATGACACACCTACTTCCTAATTGCATCTGCCTGGAAGTGGCATGCTTCTGTGCCAGTCACATCCCATTCTAAGAACTGGCCCCAGCTAGAGGCAAGGGGTGAGAGGGAAGTGGGGGCAGACTGAGAGATATGATCACTGATGAGCAGCTGCTTCCAAGCAACCCTCCTCAGTATGGAATGAATGAATGAGATAAAAGATACAGCACAGTGGAAAGAACTGAGGAATGTTGGGAACAAGAGAAAAGCCATATTAAATCACCCAATACTCTCATTTTATAGAAGACGCAAGTCCAGAGTAGACAAATAGCAAATAACACAACTATTTACGATTTACTTAAAGACCTGGGGTTTGAATTCAGGTGACCTTGGTTCTTGCCCTAGTTTGTTGAATGTCAAAGTCACCCCTGCCTCTCTGAGCTTCAGTTCTCTCACCTTTAAAATATGAGGTTTGTGCCAGATGCTCTCTAAGATTCAGCCCAGCCTTGCTGGGCTGAAAGTGACACCACAACCACGATTGTGGAGGTTTGTTCTGGGAATGGAATAATTCAGGTCCCTGGGACCACACTCAACAACCAACAAGTGAAATTTCAATCCCTTGGTCAGTTGTTTTATGTGCACATGCTCTGTTGATCAGAAACCATCCTTCAATAAAATGAAACGCATTGTAAAGACGTTTTAGAAGGAGGAGTCAAAACACTGTCCACACACCTTCATCCACCCAGAATTGACCTGGGTTCACAGATGAGGTCACGGAGCATGGCCTGACTACCTGTGTCACTCCTCAGGCAGAATTTAGACTATCACATAATAAGAATGAGAGTGACACTGTCTCTCAGTTGTTTGAGATCTGAGGGTATTCTGATTGTTAACATCAGCCCTGTTCTTTCTATTTAAACAGTTCTATTCATGTATTTTAGGCTATTCAGAGGTGCTCTAAATCTCAAATTTTAAAACATTTGGGTAGGAAAGAGAAAAGAGCATTGAATAGTATGCTGACTTCATTAAAAGCCTATTTTAGGAGATAAATACATTTGAATGATAGAAGTTTTCAGAAAGAACTTCGAATAGAGGTAAACAACTTAAACTAGTCAGTCACATTTTAGAGGTTAATGAGAAACTTCAAATGTTTTTGGCCCAGAGACTTTCTTGAAACTATAATGACTTTCTAGACTCTCATATAGCTAAATGACTTATGCTTAAGTCCTCAAAGTACAAATTAGTAAGAATGTGTTCTAGAAGTCTTATAAGCATTTATTTTCATTTAGACCACTGCATTTTCTCAGGAGAAAATGAAAGGGTTCCCCAATGTTCTGAAAGCTGCATATTCCATGCATATGTCTCAATATATAGGATCATAACATCTCTTTCAGACCTCCCAAACCCCATGCGCTTTCACAGTGAAATCCTGTTCTGACTGATACCCCTTACCTCCCTGTCCTGGAGAAAAGCATCAAGTAACTATTCTCCTTCCACTTCCCCCTCCCTATATTCCTTAATTTGGGTATCTACTTCCCAACGTGGCAAAGGGTAGCACAGAAATGACACTGCTTTGGAGTCACTGGCAGAGCACTCCCTAGGTTCACACTGGCAGACAGGCTTCCCCACCCCCAGCCCTGCTGCTGCCATTTCACACAATTTACCTTCCACACCAAATTCAGAACAGCAGTCTATAAAGAAAAGCGGAAAAGCAAGCTGTCTAAAGAGTCTTCATTCTTCTTCATGGTATAAAGCAACATGTTGCTGTGGCTTTTGACCTCCAGGGGTTGGATTAGACGATTTTCCACATGGTTTATTGTGAAAGGTTTTATTGCACAGATCCCTCAACAATTTAATTGCCATAAAAATAGCTAACATATGTGGCAGGCTTTAAGAATGTCCACCCGCCAAATGGATTTGCTTCTCATGTGGCCACCAGGAGCTGGCAGCTTTTACCTCCACATACCTCGGTGGGGTTCTAAGCTAAAGGGCTGAAGTCACCCCGACGGGCTGTCATGAATGCAGGTCTTGGTTTCCATTTTGCTTTTTCTGTACTGTTGATGGTTCAATTTGTTGGCTTGCTTGTTTTTCTTCTTTTGGGGGTGTGTTTTTAAAGACATATCTCTGAGGGCAATAAAAAGGTGGTAGTCTTAGATTCCATGAGGGTGTAATGAACTGACACAGCTCAGGGCCACTGTCCCAACGGTTTAGTCTGATCCTCATAGTCTCTCAAGTGTTCTCATTTGAGAGCTACCAACATTCATAACCTATCTTTTAAAAGCCAAAGGAGAGAAATCTGTCATCTACTAGAAACACTGCAACCACTTCCTTGACAGGAAGCCATTGTCTTTACTTTGCATTAGCTAGTAAAAACAATACTAAAAAGAAATCATACATGGATGCACTTCTCTTCACATAGCAGATGCTAATTCCTCAAAGGAGGCTGCCTACTGCGTAATCCTTCCAGGTCTAGCTAATTAATGTTTCCTCCATAGACCAAATAACTATGTGTGAGCTCTCTGTTGACCTCTCTCCTGTCTCTTTTGACTGTTTTGTCAGAGTCTCCCCTTGCTATTCATGGGAGGCCCAAAAGACAGCTTCACAGTGTTCCACAAACCAGCCTGTGAACAGCAGTCCCCCGTCCTTCTTCCGTAGTGGTTCCCCCTCCAGTTGCATACAACTCATCTGGAAGAGGATATTGCCTGATAGAAGAATGCCGTAGGCCGGGTGCAGTGGCTCATGCCTGTAATCCCAACACTTTGGGAGGTCGAGGCAGGCGGATCACTGGAGGTCAAGAGTTTGACACCAGCCTGACCAACATGATGAAACCCCACCTCTACTAAAAAATACAAAAATCAGCCAGGAGTGGTGGCACTCACCTGTAATCCCAGCTACTTGGGAGGCTGAGGCAGGAGAATCACTTGAACCTGGGAGGCGGAGGTTGCAGTGAGCCAAGATTGTGCCATTGCACTCCAACCTGTGTGACAAAAGCAAAACTCCGTCTCAAAAAAACAAAAAACAAAAAGCAAAAGAATGCCAGTATCTGTTCCTGGGTGCCAGCCAGGTCTCCCCTGTTCCAGCTACCAGAAGGAAGTCAGGAAAGGTGGGAAAAGGCCTCCTCCTGCCCGCCCCCGCACCTCCCCTGAGAGCCTTGTCTGTTTACCTGGCTGAGGCATCTCCATCCAAGCCCAGCAAAGTTTCTCTTGAGCAGTTCCACCAGCTTCTGATCTTCACCCCTCTTTCCACAGTGGCTCAAAATTAGACCAAGGACCATGGAGGGTTGCTCCAGTCTTTACCCTCCCGGTTAAACCGGCATTTTTGATCCCCATGTTTCTCTCCCCTTAGTAACAGTAGCAGGGAGGTAAACATTGTTTTAGGAGCTAGTAGCAGAATTTACCTGGTGGAGACTTGTACTGTTTACCAAAACTTTTCGATAAGCCACTTTGGCTATAGTAACATGATCCTTAGGGCCTGGGCTGGATGAGACAAGGTTTATACAGTGAGAAGAATTTTTGAGTTTCTAAGAGCAGTGCTGGAGGAAGAGGGGACCTGGGGATGGAGATAAACTGGGAGAGATGAGAAGAGGTGATGAGAAGAGATGGACCAGCA